GAATACACCATCTAAGGAGTCTTTCTGCTGTGCCTTTTGCAATCGGATATGTCTGTCACGTATTGGCCTCATAAGCCACCAGCGTGCCTGTAGCAAATGTGGATAGAGCCTTCCCAAATCTTCGTTCGCGAAGCCCAGCCATGATGATGAATTAATTAGGTTTAATAAAAGCATTTTGTGGCTACTGTCTCAGAAAAACTGCTGGATTTGTCACAAAATCACAATAGCTGAGATCAGATAGTGGCTTGGTCTGATAACACTGGCTTTGTCATGAAGCAGGGTGCAGGGCATCCTAAAATGTGTGTCCCACCCGGGAGGGAAACTCTGTGGGTCCAAGAAAATTTTTTGAGCATGTTGCACAAACCAGGCTGCTGTTTGGTCAGACCTTCTGAGTGGTGGGTCTCTCGTGCTGTCCCTGTGATGGTGAAGGGTCAGTGGCCGTGGCCAAAGCTCAGCTAGTGTCCGGTCCAAGTAGGGTAAACCCTTCACCATGATGGTGTTGTGCCCTGCCTGCAGCTTACCACTGGCCAAGAAGATAAAGAGTGTCCTGGTCCCTGTGCAAGGTGTCTGCCAGCTCCCTGCCAACCTTCCTTGGACCACAGAGCTGTGAACAGGTGGGAGCAAATTACCATCCCTGCAGCTGGATTCCCCAAGCTGGTGTGGTCTTTCCTGCTTGACATCTGAGTGGTTTTGTTCTGCCTCTGCCTTGTTGATGCAAATGCAGGTGCCACTGCAGGCTCTGTGCTGCAAGGCCGGGCAGTTGCTGCATCTGGTGTGCCCTGATGGAGCCTGATCTACGCTCTCAGCTTTTGGCAACACAGCCTTTGGGAGCACAAGAACGTGAAATTTTTGTTCATTTTCATGTGCTCTCTGCAGTTTTTAGCTCAGGATCATCCCCAAGCTGCTGGTTCACAGGCTGACAGCTCGGATGACCTTTCTGCAGATGTGAAGCAGTGGGGCAGCCTCTTCCAGGAGCAGGTTTGCAGTTTTAGCTCTGCCCTTCTGCAAGCAGAGGGTTATTGCACCTACCCAAACATGTAGTCTATCTATGCAGGGGAGTTGATCCCTTCAGCTCTTACACACCAGCAGGTGTGATATCTTTGCAGTTAACAATAGCTTCTGGGAGCATAGCTGGTACACCTCTCCAGTAAATGTCATAAGGGGGTCCAGGTGAGAACGAAGCAATCGAGACAAAAATAGTCTGGGGAAGGGATGCTGCCCTAGTGCTTCAGTGGCAAGAAGACTCAGTTTCTTATGTCCCTGGCTGCTGGAATTAAGGCCACAGTCTAAAAGAGATGGATGCTCTAGTGCCTGTGAACCTCATGTGTCTGTAGATGAGTTGGAGTGGAGCAGAGCTTGGGGAGGATCTTGGAAAGCACTGTGAGGCCTCAGCTCAGCTCACCCCTGCCTGCTGCATTGCCTCCAACCACCTCGATCTTTGCAGTAGCTTATTCACCTGGGCTCATGGAAACATGGCAGGGTGGAAGCTAGGTCTGGTTTAAGCAAACACCCAGCCTACACCAGCCTTGGAGCAAGGCTTGACCAGCACTTGTGTAGCCCTATGGGTGGTATTCTGCCCTATGGATATCCATCAACTTTCCTTGATTCTCAGCAATTTGAGTCTCTGTAAACAAAAGCAGTGGAATAAGATTTCAGCCAGGACTTTAGACTCCAGCTGGAGAAGATGGTCTTTGTCTTGTCTAGGAGAGTTTGTCCACCAAGGAAGATCTAACTGAGGAATAGGAGTCAACTCTAGGTGGGACAGAAAAGACGTGTGACTTTGGCTCTGACACCGTGCTGTGTTACCATGCCTACCTTTGAAAAATAAGGCTGGAATATGTGAAAAGGGGTGTGTGGGTGTGTGTGTGTGGGTGTGTGTAGCAGTGGTTGTTCTTTTCTAGGGCACTGGATTACTGTACAATGCAAGTACCTGCTGGTGCAGGAGGAAGAGGAGCTGTTGGTGTGGCTGTACATACCCCCTGCAACAGCCCAGAGCCCCACTCGGTCCCGCTTGTCCACCAGAGTAGAG